TACATGCATTTTGGGGCCGCTGATGAAGGAGCGGACTATCGTCCTGGTAACTGAAGACCCGACGTGTCGAGAAGAAGCCGATCTACTGCTCGAGCTCAGTAACGAAGGGACTCTCACAATTCTACGGAACAGACAATTCCCCGTGGCAGAATCTAGAGTCGACCGAATGGATGCATCAGGTGCTGGAGTCTCAAACAGGGGTACCCTCAATGGAGTAGAACTTATTCCCGACACTGAGGTGCTGAAGAACGAGCCTGAGGAGTCGTCTGAGAAATCCGAGAAGCTCATCAGCGGCCTCATTGGGAAGAATTACATTCTCAAGTACATGCGGCTCTTTGGCTCAAAATATTACCTGTACTTTTTCTGCGGGACAGTGTTGCTCGCGCAAGCTACTGATGTGCTTCTCTCATTCTGGTTGACCTTGTGGTCCAAAGGTTCAGGGCAGCAAAGCAGCCAGCAACAGAAACAAGCAGCAGGCTTCTATCTTGGTATCTACACTGGCCTTGGAGTCATCCAGCTGTGCCTCGTCTGCGCATCCTCGTTGATGTTCTTCTACGGGGCTCTTAGAGCAAGCAGGACTGAGCACTCGCAGATGTTGTCCTCTGTATTCCGAACAACTCTTGCGTGGGCGACGGCTACCCCGGTGGGCGTCATCTTGAATCGCTTCTCTTCGGATATGTTTTCTCTAGATAACACCATCACCGAGCTACTAAAGCAGGTGGTCGAAAACTTCCTTTCGATAGGGTTCCGCCTGGCTGCTGTCTCAGCCATCCTCCCTACCTTTCTGATACCTGCGATTCTCTTGCTCGGTATCAGCTTGTATATTGGCCAGGTATATCTATACGGATCGACGGCTGCTAAGAGGATATACGCAGCAAGTCTATCCCCCATCATCACCAGCATCAACGATGTGATCTCAGGAATTGAGGTCATCAGGGCACATCAAGAGGAAGCAGCGTGGAGAAACCGTTTCTACTATTCTCTCGAGCATTACCTGCGTGGCTGGGAGGCCATCAGCGCCACGCAAAGGTGGCTCGCCGTGAGGATGGACTTTTGCGCCGGCTCCATCTCGTTGCTCACGGCGGTCCTCGCCATCACGTCTCGTACCAGTCCGGCGGCCATTGGGTTCAGCATGACGAGTGCGACGACGTTGTGCACCGCTCTCTTGTGTAAGTCTCTCTGTCTTCGGCTCTAAGCCTATCATGCTAATTCGGAATGCAGATATCGTCTACCTCTCCAGCCTTCTTCAAGTCGAGATGAATTGCTTCCAGCGGATTGAGGAGTATATCCATGCGATACCGCAAGAGCGGCAATCAACCCGTGGCGATGACACACCGCTCGGTGTTGACCTCTCACTCCAGAGCGGCCACGTTAGATTCGAGAACTTCAGTTCTGGATACACCTTAGACGGCGATGTAGTGCTGTCGGAGGTCAATCTGGAAGCTAGGCCCGGACAGCGCGTCGCAATTGTTGGAAGGTCAGGCAGCGGCAAGAGTTCCCTTGCGGCGGCGTTGCTGAGGCTCACGGAGACGTTCCACGGGAGGGTGCTCATTGGCGGCTGCGACATAGAGACGATCGAGGTGAGTGAATTGCGGCAACGCATCTGCTTTATTCCGCAGAACCCGACGTTATTCACGGGCTCCCTGCGGTTCAATCTTGACTTTGCCGGGAGGGTGTCCGACGAGAGGCTGCAAGAGGTCCTCTCGGACGTCATGGGCGACGCGGAGAACAGAGCCAAGTGGACGTTGGACATGCACATCTCAGCAGATGGCTCCAATCTGTCTCACGGGGAGCGGCAGCTCATTTCCCTGGCCCGGGCGCTGGTGACGGACGCCAGCATCGTGTTGATAGATGAGGCCACGGCCAGCGTCGATTCCGAGAGCGAGAAGAGAATTCATAAACTCCTGAAGGAGCGCTTCTCTGGCAAGACGCTGATCGCGATTGCGCATCGGCTCGCGCCCGTAGTGGAATTTGATTGGGTTTGTGTCATGGAACAGGGCAAGATCGTCGAGCAGGGTGATCCCCAGCATCTCATTTCAGTAGAGGGTGGTAAGCTCTGGAAACTGTGGCATTCAGCGAGCGCGTGACTCCAGCCGGATAAATGCGTCCGGACGGAATAATAGCTTGAGTGTTGTATGTATATAGCAGAATCGAAGTGCAGATGTAGACAGACGGTGAGGCTTAGGAAGGCCTAGTATATAGATACATGTAGATAAACGATAAGTGAACCGGCGAAATAGAGATATTCCAGACCCCAACGAAACTGTCAGAGTGCCAGGAGACAGACTAAGGTCGTCCTGTTATCTCCCCCGACTTATCCTGGTCCCTCCCAGGCTTCCCCTTATTAATGCAGCCAGGATGTAGCATCCGATGCTGGAGATAAGACGTCGTGCCACCGGAAGATAAGCAATTCACCCGCTGCCCCGTGCCATTTCCCTCTCTTTGGTTTTAGTTGTTGCATCTCCCCTCAGTTGAGCCATCCCCGACCTCCCCAGCCCAACGACGACCGCCCAGATGCCCAATACCGCAGCCTCGACCAGTCCAACACCCTCCCAGTCTCAGAAGAGATACGGCGGGGTGCCGCGAAAACGAAATGTCACCTCCCGAGACCGGAATGGGTGCATTACCTGCCGCAAGCGCCATCTGCGGTGCGACAAGACGCACCCCAAGTGCAACAACGTAGGTTCTGCCCACGGCGCCCAGTTGACGAGGGTGAGGGTGATTGATCGCGATTCCAGTGCTCCAAGATGAACCGAGTGTGCGAGGGCTATGCGAAGCGGATATCCTTCTGCGACGAGACCCTGAGCGTCACCCAGAAAGCCCAAGGCATGCCCTCGGCCAACGCCCGCATACGACCGACAAAGACGACGATGGTGGAAACCCGGACGAGCCCGAAAAACGCCATTGCTACCATCCCGGAGATGATTGAAGACGTGTGCGCCCTCCAGGATCAGACGATAGCGACGATATCGCCGAATAGTGACGAGCCGGGAATCTTCGACGGCGAGGAGTGGATGTTCCAGGACTGGGAGCTGGCTTCTTGGTCTCCCGTCGGCCAGGAAGCCGTCTATCCCTGCGCCTCTGGGCCTTTGCCTCTCGATGCCAACTCGTTGTCCGAACTGAGCATCCAACTAGACCCGTCCACGATCAACCTGGGGCAGATCCCGACAATCGCCCAGCCCCTTTCCATGCACAGCGCCCTGGGTTACCGGTTCATGTCTTTTCCCCAGGACGAGAAATACATCATGCGACTCCAGAGCAACCAGGTCGAAGGCCTGGAACCGATCCTACCAATCGCCGACGTGTTAATGGACGAAACAGTCATGACCTCGCACTGCTGGAGCGCCGCGCTGGCCGTCTCAGCAATAACCGCCAGCAAGTTCAGCTCGACCACCGCCGAGTGCATGAGCCATGCGTCTCACCACTACATAAGCGCCATGCAGAATCTCCGCAAGGCCTTTCCCCCGGACTCTCTATCCTCGATGCAGGTCTCCGGCTGCACTTCCGGCCTCTTAAGCTGGATCTTGACCCACCTGCTGTTAGCCAACTTCGACCTGTATCGCGGTAATCTCAGCTCGTGGAGGCGTCACCTGCGCACTTCGGGGAGGATATTCAGCAAGTGGCACCAGAGCATCCTCCACGACCGGCGCGGGCGTCTTCTGGCCAACACCTTCGCGAGGATGGCACTCCTCGTGGAGCTGCAGAACAGCGACCTCTCCCTGACCAAGGTTCAGGACATGAACCCCGGCGTGGCCACCCACCTCGAATCCATGATGGAAGGTTCCGACTCATCTAGGGACCGCCTGCTGTTGCTGATACGAGACGTAACCAAGACAGAGCTGAAATTCCGCCACCGGCCAGAACTACAGGAGAAGTGGGCCAGGAAGATGCAGCTCATCGACCAGAAGCTCATGGACTGGCAGAAGCGGCTCCCCGTCTCCGAGCTGCCGGTCGACACCGGCATCGCCGAGTCGGTTAAGTTCGCCGCGGAGCCGGGATCGACCATCCCACCCCTCGAGGTCAGACCGCTATCGTTCCCCAACGCGACCAACCCCATCACGTCCGCCGTCAACTACGCCCACTTCCTCTGCTCCCGTATGCGCGCCAACACGCGCTACATGCCCAACGGGGCCAAGAGCACGCCCCCCAACACGGACTCGACGGTGTTCTTCATCTGTCGGATAGCGGCCGGACTGTCACCGAGGGGCTGCGCCAAGCACAACGCCTTCGGCCACGGCATCATGCCCGCCCTGGTCGGGTCGTACCGCTGGAGCTCGGATCTGCGGATCCGCCACTGGATCAACTCGTGGCTGCGCGCGTACGAGGACCAGAGCTGCCGGGAAGGGTTGTGGAACGTCCGGCAGGCGAGGAGGCTCGTCTCGTTCCTGGAGGACGAGAGCCGGCGGCGGACGCTGACGTCGGGCTGCTGGGGGATCGTCGCGGCCAGGATCGAGGACGAGAACGACCCTACCTGCGACGACCTTAGTTCCATAGAGGAGCCGTACTCCTTTTTCAACGGCAATACCAGCGAGGATGAAAAGGGAGGGCCATTCAGGGCAGTGGTACATTCACGGTGTCCGACGGGTTGGGAGACAGATCATTTTATTATAGCGTAGCGTTTAGGCTTGCTCTTTATATCCTAATATACTGCCGATGCCAGAGTCCCCCACCACTTTTGCAATGTACCCAGTAGTCGTCTCGTCTTATCTGGTCGCACTTCGTAATATTGCCCAAAAGACGCGACAAGTCGGATACAGGTTATCGTGGCAAGCCCTCTGATTCTTGATCGAACACCCGGGCCGCATTCACCCCAACGGCCTTTGCAATCGTTCAGTTTCTGTCGAGTGATCCTTCAAAAATGCAAGGCAAGGCGGTCTTAGAGCAACTGCCTCGTTAAAACTCCTCAATGCACCGATTGGCCCCCTCAGGTGACAGATTTCCTATTGAAGCCGACCACCCGATGGCCACCGCTTTCAAATCGAAGCTCCGTCTCATCTTGCATGGCCAGGAACCATAACCCAATGCACGGCCACTTCTCAGGCCCTCACGCATCAACCGTCCCACAATCCCGCGGAGAGCCAGCTGGGGGTAGTAAGGCCCCGGGCCAACTCGGATGGGGAGCCATTCCCCAATCTTTCCTAGGTTCTGAGGCCGATGTTCAGTGCAAGAGCAACATCGACCCCATAGACAACAAAACCACCCCTAATCTCTATGTGGGTACGTATGACCCCAGTTATGCCGTCCCTTATACTTGCTCCGACGTCGAAATTGAATCTCAAGGCCGTATGCCAAAGAATGGCATACAGACTGGACACCGTGGCGAGAACAGGAGTAGCCGGAAGACATCTTTCGAACCGCGTCTTCATCGGTGCCGCGAGTTTGAAGTCGTAGAGGTGGAAGTTCGGGACGTTGACCACGACGCCACTGAGACCAAATGCCATGTGCCCCACGAAGATGTCGGTTAGGGGGGGTTCAAGAGCTGCTTTATTCATGGATAGACTGATGGTCATGGTATCCTCGATGGTGAATTTGACCACCAGCCGGAGAGGAGAGACATGTATGGCGAGCCTGCCCCATGTGATAGTTAGGAATCGTCTTCGAAGAGCGACATTGACGCAATCCTGCAAATTTCGAAATCCAAAGCGAGGAAAAACGAGAAGAAGAACTAGACAAAGGCAAAGTTCTACCATGATGGTGTTTGCGCTGCTACTAAGCCTACGGGGACCGAATTTTCGAAGAATGGCTGATACCACGGAAGTAAGTCGTGCCAGGTGGGCCTGTTTGCCTTCTTCACGTTGGCTTCTCTCGTTTCGCTTGCTAGTCAGAATCGTCTTCTGAACTTGTGTGACCTCCTTTAGCGCTTTGGAGTCTCTCAAGGACTGCTAGTGATGGTGCTTGTAACCTCAAGTCGCCTCTTCTTGGATGGCTGCCCTGGGTCTTGGGATGAAGGCTCCGGTATCGCCTTTCTTCCGTTCGGTTTGTTCTGCAGTGTATTCGATGTTGATTGAGTGAGGGAAACTCTCGGTATCCTCTTCGTGTTCGGTGTGCTCTTGTTTTGGTGGTTCTCTTCTTCTTGCTGAGTTGGCTCTGTGTGGTCTTCACCCTCTGCAAAGGAACTGCGAACCCGACCCGTAATCTTAGACCGACCTGGTGTTGAAAGAGTATAATCACCTTGAAAAAAAACAGAAGCAGCGACATCGACCAGTCTCTGGCCTTCCACCCTCGGACATGCCTCCAGCTGGGTTGCCGTTGTCTTCTGTCGGGTCAGGGCAGGTTTCAGGCAGCTTGCCTAAGTGATGAAAATCTGAGGAAGGTGCACATGGTTGGTGCGGGAAGGAAGGCAGGCCTTCGTCAACGCCCGTGACTAATCGTTGACGTAAAACAACCCTAGAACTTCAAGTTAAGGTAGGAGCAATTCATCTTTCTTTCTTTCTCAACCACACACCAAACCGAGTCCAGGCAGCCTGCGTACCCCGATTAATCCAACCATAGGAGGAGAGATTCCTTTCTTTTTTGTTAAAGACCTGGAGGCTTTATATGGCCAGATGGTAAGTTGGAAACACCGCGATGGTATGGCGAGGCTAATTTATTAATTCTAGCCTCGGAAATGCTCCAAGTCCTGACCGGTTACCTCCTACCGCTCCCCTTTCTTGATCCTCATCTTAGACAGGGTCTATGAGGTACTCATCGCATCGGATACGGCCGAAATGATCACCGTCAGACTATTTTGTGCCTCAACAACGAATTTGAACCATGGGATTCATCAAGCCTGTGCCCAACGTATCCGGGCGAAGATGAACTTGAGCACAACTGGCCAACCCTTGCTATCGAAGCCGGGCACTCGATGTCTCTGGAATCACCGAGACAGACACTGAGCTACTCTCGCGCGCCCCAAGTCTGAAAGATTTGGACGCACACCCTTGCCCTTTGTTTCCCGCACTGAGATGATGGTGGTCGTCTTCTGCTACACCATCAAGCATAAGAATCTCAGGGTGAATGGAGACCCAACAGACTAAACAAATGGAGATCGACCGCAAGAGTCTGCCCGGAGTCGACTCCGACCCACGTCGGATCTCACGAGAGTAGCAAAGTGTACAGCCCGAAAGGGCTGACCCTATACTTGCCCAGTACTCTTACAGCATTCCAAATCTCAGGGTGTATGATATACTATGATCATATGTAATGGTTTGCAACAGCCCATGTCCATCCCAGTGCTGGAGAAACATGTTGACACAAATACGGGCAGGGGGTAGAGCTCCCCAGCTACGAGGCAACAATTCTCATCAACGCTATCCAGATCAGCCTACTTGGCACAACAACGTTTGGCCATGAGCCGATCCAAAACCAAGAGCATCAAACTCCAGCACCGGCCTACGAGCCAGCCTGGCCCGAGAAATTTGAGATCGAATGAACACCGCGACCGTTCTCACAAGAGGGCGATATACATCAACAAGGACGAGTATGGTCTGTATATAACTGACGAGCCACGCAAGCGGCATCTGAAGACTGTGGTCATGCGCCGCGCTTCTTAAAGAAGCTGAGGGGGTGGCGGGGGTGGACATCGATTTGACCATTTGCATCGAGAACCGCTACAATGTCCGAGTTGCCAGCAAGAGCAAGGGCAAAGGCGATGAATAACGCTTGGTTGCACAAGCCTGCGATCAACATGGTTCGCGGCCATGTCGACACTGGCGACCATCATGGCCGACCTCCCCAGATCTTATCCATAATCGAAGATAAGAACGACCAGAAGGAGGCTGTCACCAATCTGAACGCCCATGTAGAGCGCCAGTCCGTCACTAGAACTAGCCCATGGATGGCAAATTTTACTTGGAAGTGACACCAACGCTCCCTCCTGTCTCCAGAGGAAGAAGACAACACCCATCTATCGGAGCACCCTGCAGCCAATCTCTCGAGACAAGAAGCCTGCTCACCATTCTTTATAAGAGGAACCTATTACAACTATTGTACCAGAATATACCGGTGCTGCTGACGTAGCCAGCATTTCGAACCTGGCGCAGCACGAGGGCAAGGTGCTCTTCATCTGGTTACCCTCATCCCCATTCCAAGCTCCCACTCTTCTTTCCCTTCCCAATGGTTGTCTTTTTGCTCTCAGTAGGAGTGGTGAAACTTTCACTCTCTGATCCGATTGGCTCGGATCGTTGTCAGATTCGAAGTTGACTTTGTCGTCTGTCTCCATCGTCTCCAATTGCCGGAGTTGGGTTTCAACATTCCCAAACATTCTCCCCCTTGCGAGGCAATCGAATTCGGGGTTGTTGTCGGTGGGGTGCGACAGTCTTGAAATTGATCCCGGAGCCAGTGCCGCTCAGTAAAGCGGCTTTGGTGGCGAAAGGGTACCACGGCAGGTAGGGAAGGTTTTGGCTGGCCTCTCCTTTAGTCGTTGCCTTGAACGGCCGACTTAGAGGTTCGACGATGATGTGAAGATTCCCGTCAACGCGGCGGGTGAGCACGAAATCCTGAATCACATCTTAGGGGCGCCTTGCTCCCTTTGCGCTTCGGAATAGTGCCGGCTAGGGCCGTTCGGTCGGGATGGGGAAGGGGATGCTTGCTTGAGCTCCTGGTTATTAAGTCATATTTCGGGGGGAGGGGAGCTTCCGGCTCAACACTCTTGATGCAGAAGACCTTGAGACCAGCCACTTCGTCAGCTTCTGTGGGATGTATGTCCTGTTAGATGGCGTGAGCGTCAGCCGGTGTCGAGAGTTGAGAACCGCCGTCGCGTGGAAGCTCTCCTCTCTGATACCAACATTTTTATTCAGACAAGGAATAGAACCGTGGCAGGCTTCTGCCCTGACACCACTTCTGGCTCTGAAGATTCTACGGCTGATCCCGCCGGAGATCTTGTCAACGATGCCATTCGCCGAGGCAGGCTCCCACACCTCCCCAGGCCTCTCACACCTCCAGAGGCGAGGCCGTGCGCCGAGTTTTTTTCAGTCGGGGGCAATTGATGCTCGAGGTCGAGATTGAGGTCGGTGGACAACTTGTGAGAGCGACGCACCCCGAACCATGTCGGTGCGATCCGCCGTGCATTACACACGTGGAACGGTGGGCAGGCAAGATAGTGAAGTCGGAGTCAGTGGCAGAGTAAATAGTGAATGAATGAACAGTCAACTTTTCTCCGTCAAATTTTGGTGCAAAGGTCCGATTTTTATGTATGATTGATCTTTATCTCATTCCCGATAAGCGCTTATCAGCATGATGCCTCTTTCCCTGCAGCTGTCAAAGGTTGTCGCGGTTAGCATTGATCAGTGTCCAGCCGCTGAGTGTGTGCGCTCCTCACCTTGTCCTTGCATCCTTTGCGGTTCTTATTTCGCTGTTTCGGCTCGATAACGATGTGACCAGGTTCAATGTACGTCGGTCGCCCGCACCGTTGGCTTGCCTCCCAGCCGTCGAACAACATATGGTCAATTGATTCTTGCTCGTGGAATGCGACGACTGCCAATCGGTGCCCGCCTTGGGGCATGGGCTTCGACTTTCGCTCTTCTTTTTTCCCCGGGCGGATAGCCAGGAGGTTTCAATTATTCACGGATGGAAAGGAGATGGATTTTGATGATTTGACGGTTCAATTGACGGGAAAAGAGATGATGATGATGGGAAGAGACGGCTGCCTTTGGCCAGTGGCCAGGGAGGCCTCTTGTCTAACTAGCTAGATTCTAAAGTGGCAAGAGCCACCCCACAACAGTTTCCCTCCCCGCCGAGCGAAGCCATTCAAAAACAGAAAACCATCCAAAACCATTCAGTTACGTCGTTGTCGGTCGGTCGGTCGCTCGTCCTTGACTGTCAATTGCAAGCTCCCACCATCCCACCCAATGGAATCCACGAACGCTTCACCTTGGTGGGGAGCCACGAGAACTTTTGGTTCTCATGGATCAACTGTCAGAGGCGGAACAGATGGCCCTGTTCTGGCCCAAGTCTTATCTTGTAACAAATAGTCATCTCTACTATTTATCCCATTTGGTGGAGACGTGCGGCTCACGCTGCACGTTCCATGGAGAGAGGAGAATTTGTAACCGAATCATTCTTATATTGACCGCATCCTGTCTCTGGGTATAATAACAACAAGTAGTCTAAGCCATGTACATTATACAAACACGCCAATGCTAATATCAAACAACACAAAATAAATCCAAACATGAACACTGTGAGGCTCCCCAACCGTGTTGCGGGCATCTTATTCCGCCCCCGTAAACACCCTCACGACAAGCCATAACGCCCCAGGCAGCCCTTGAGCTGCAGCATATCCCCCTCCTCCGCCTCGATGAAGGTCTGCAGGTACTCAACGGGAAGGTACTCCTGCCCGGCCTTGTCGGTGTACAGGTGCTTCGTCTTGCCGCGCGCCTGCGCCTCAAGTGTATCCTCCATCCCCTTGAGCAGCGCGTCGGTCGCGTCGTACCCATTCTCCATGGCGATGTGGAGGACCAGGCGCTCCCTATGCCGCCAGAAGCGGTCCGTCTTGGGCACGAGGAGCTTCATCGTCTCCATGAGGCGGGACTTCCACGATGCGTCGCCGCCGGTGGCGGCCTCGAACCAGGGGTCGGGCTGGGAGGAGCAGGCCAACGCGAGGGGCGTCATGGCGCCGTAGTCGTCGGAGCCGTGGTTGGGGTCGTGCCATTGGAGGAGCCATCCCACGAATTCGGGCAGGGCTAGAAGGGCAGCGAGGTGCAGAGTTCCG